AAGATTCCGGAACTCTTGATATGGTAACAGAGCTAATGTACACTCTTGCTCATTTCAATTTTTTATAGAAGTAGCACAGAAGGAATGTGTGTAGAGTGTGGTCATCGCACCACATTACAAATGGTCCATCAGTCAGCATGGTCTGTGCAGCAATTTTGGACCAAGACAACATTCTCCAGGTCCGACAATCCCATATCCCCCAGATCTCGCCCCTTGCTCTTCTAAAACAAATCACATGTGGAAGGAACAAAATTTCAAGTCGACGAGCAAATCCAGGAGAATTTGGAGAAGTATCTGCTCGCAATCCCAATAAAGGGGACTCAAGAATTCTTCCATCGATGGAAACAATGCTGGATAACGTGTTTGGCTTCAGAATGAAGCTCTTTCGAAAGAGATTAAATACCGAATTGATGTGTTGTCATTTTCTTTTTATAGCATAATTCCTGATATTTTTGATCAGACCTCATGTTTGCATGACCTCATAGGATGTCTGGTGTGATTATCATCGGCGATTGGGTGACAGAAAATCTTCTCAAATCTTCATGCAATAGAGAACAAGTCAGAGAAAGATGACGCTCAGGTGGATGACGAGGTCCTTACTGTTAACCAAGAACTTAAACCTGCCGGTTATGATGTTGGCATCTGCTATTAACACTCCATGTTTTATCACGTGGCTTGTATTTTACTTGATTAATTACACTGTAATGTCGCATCAAACACAGAATTATGTGTGGTTTAAATTTGATTACAACAAATGTAGAATAAAAAGTAAAAATAAAAGAGCTTTTTTGCCCTTTTACTTAGAAAGAAAAAGAAGTTAAGGTGGATGCGTACAAAGCAATCGATGAAGAAAGGATTATTATCATCATCAGGTTCATGACCCGATGTGGCTGTATGGTTACTGAGCAACTGAGCCTCTAGCCAGCTTTCAGCAAATGTTCCGTTTGCGCGCCAATGTTTGAGTCATGGTGAAGAATCTTTGATTCTACTCCGTGACGTCGTCAAGCTTTTTTTTTAATGTCTGTCTTTTCTTCCTTTGCCTATTGTTATACACTGTAGCATAGCAGTAAAAACATTGTTGGCTTTTATATAATCATCATTCCATTTCAAATTGCTCTTCTCGATTATTAATATGTCGTCTGCCAACAGACATTTTTTCTTTGCTTACGATGTCATACACTGCGTTTTTTGCGATGTGGTCTCCATGTGCAATATCTAGGGTGATTCTATATTTCATTTCTAATTCTTGCCTTATTCGCCCTAACCCTGTCCAAGATTCACTGGCATACAGGAGGTACCCTGATGTTTTCATTTCGCGAAATGATCTAATATTTATACTGCTCTGGGAAATATTTCTATTCTATTCTTCGTTGATAATAAAATCGAGGTAAGACATTAGAAGTGTTTTGCTCCTTTAATTTCCTTACTCTCGGCTTTTATCTCTTATCATAGGTTTATTCACCATAAGATGTTTTTTACATTAATCACCATGTCACATATGGGGGGGATGCTTAATCCACGTTCATCTTCAGAGTGACGAACTCCTTCTCTTTGGTATATAGACTATTTATATCATCTGTAAAGTAAAGGTTTGTGAACTTGCTACATTTAATTCTGACTGTACCCTGGTGTTCACACATGCCTGATAAACTTAAAAAGACAAACATTCTTTTAATTTCGTCGTGGGTATGACGATAAACTACATCCGCGTCCTGGGTAAGACGATAAACTACGTCCAACAGCAAGGCCTCTGATCAGGAGTATTTGAGAAGTGTGGAACTACCTCTTAATTGTTGGTGTTCCCAGGTCCACCATGACCGGGGTGGTAGCACCTTTTAGGGTCCCAGTTATGGGCAAATAGTTAACCCCCAATCCCAGATCTCGTCCTGGGTATGACACGATAAACTACATTCGCGTCCTGGGTATGACGATAAACTACATCCGCGTCCTTGCTAAGACGATAAACTACGTCCAACAGTAAGTCCTCTGATAATACGTTTTTGAAAAAATAATGTTGCCAGCTGTACATTTTTGAGGAAAAATATTAACAGAAATAGATTTTTGACAAAACAAAAATATTACTAGAAAAAATTAAAAAAAAGGTGTCGGCATTAAATAACCCATTGAAGTTGATATGCCGTAAAACAAACCAAACCAAACCAAACCATTTTTAATTGTTAAAATAGCATCTATACACTTTCATTGATAAAATACATCTGTGGTTGATTTTTAGATTAATGTGATATCTCATTAACAGCTATTGCAGCAAAAATCTTCATCCTGATGTGGCTGAACAAGATTAGATCTTAAATTGAGCCAATACTGAAGAAAGACCAAAACTGCTTCTGCACCAACAGATCAACATCAGGACAGATTCTTACCATCCAGATCAACATCAGGACAGATTCTTCCCATTCGACGAATCTTGAAAGGCATATAATCCAAAAACATTCCAGACACCCCTCTGCTTGTCTATTTCTCAAATCTATTTGATGCCATACATTGTGGGAAGATGTAAGAAAATACCACTTGCATATGGGATACCTAAGCAAACTGTACATGTTATCATAATCATAATGCTCTATCAGAACACCCGTTCTATGGTACACTCACCTTATGAAGACACAATTTGTTTGTTTTTATATTACTGCAGAAGTCCTACAAAGAGACACACTTGCGTCTTTTCCCTTCATCATCTGTCTTGACTATGTGCTGAGAAAAGCCTTTGATAAAAACTTGCACTTTTAGAACTACTCTCACTGAACGAAAAAGCAAAGGTTATCCAGCCGAGAAGGTCACTGTTGATGAATATGCTGAAGACCTAACGATACAAGCTGACCATGTAAAAGACGCAACGTCACTCCTTAAAAAATTCGAAAATGTAGTCTAGGAGATTGTATATCATTGCGGGTAAAACAGAGTTCATCTGCCTAAATCAAGATACATCGACATGCATGAAAAGTCTGAACGGGGAAATAATCAAGGAAGTGGACGACCAGATGCCTCCTTGGGTAGCTATGATCGCCTCTATTGAGATCGATGTCAACATCAGATTGGGAAAAGCCTGGAGAGCACTTAATGAAATCAACAAAATTTGAAAATCAAATCTACCGGACAAACGGAAGAGAAACTTCTTCAGAGGACATTAGAGTCTGTCCTTGTATATGGCTCCTTAACCTGCACACTAACAGCCAAACTGGAAAAAAGGTTAGATCGTACTTACACACGAATGCTTCGAACAGAACTAAACAAATTCGGAAAAAAAGAAAGAGCTCTATGGCAACATATCTTCCATCAGCAAATCAATACGCCAACAAAGGCTTAGATTTACTGGTCACTGTTGGCGTAACAAAGACCTACTTAGAGACGTTCTACTCTGGATACCATCCAATGAAAAAAGAATACGAGGTCGACCAAGGAAGATGTACATTGACCATCTGAATGAGGAAACGGTATGCCGACCGGATGTGCTTCCAAATGCACTGAATGACCGGAATGGATGGAAGCAGCGTATCACGGAATGCCCTGCTTGTTCGTCTTGATGACAATGGTTTTGGTACAGGTTCCACACTCATTTCGACCGTGTGTGTTTACATCCTAAGACATTATTGTTCTTATCAAGATATTTTCTACTATGCAGTTAACCCAAAATAAAACGACAATTTGCATTGGATATGTTTTGTCTCGTAGGATTCAAGCAGGAAAGGGAATGGAAATGAAAAACAAACAGCAATGTCGGGAAAGTAAAGAAAAAAAACAAACATCCATTTAGTTTCTGACAGTTTTACTGAACGTGTTCGCATTAGCTTTGTCCAATTCAGTAACGTCATTCTTTTTACTATTGCTCACCCAATACAAGGCCAAACAACTGCATTACCGTTAGAATTATCCTATTGTTATTTATGCTTTCCCCTCGTCACATACAGAATATATGGTTAGTAAAATCATTAGTACTATGGTAATATATTTTTCACTTTTCCCACAACGGTAATTATCTTTTGGAACCAGGTCAGCAAAAGCTTTCAGAAAACTCTATCACTCTTCTCGATAATTTTCCTATATTCCAATATATTGACAGTTTCAAGATTACACATTATTTACATTATTCGGACTATTGCCCTCATCTTTGTCACCATATTTATTACAACGTTTCGGCCGTTGTACGCCCCAGCCTTCTTCAGGTGGTTGGAATGTCGAACTGAAAACTTTATTTCGATCACTGGGGTAGACTGTTCTAATTCCACGTGTCATGTCTAATGGATGTCAGTTATCAGTTATCTCCTGTTAATTTCCCTCTGAAAGTTCTCCACTGCTTTAATCGGGTATTGAACTCACACTCTTTGGCTGCTGTCACCGGATCTAACTAACGCCGTTATCCACTGTGATAGTTCGACATTCCAACCAGCTGAAGAAGGCCGGAGCGTACAATGGCCGAACCTTTGTAATAAATATGGCGACAAAGATGAGGACAATTGTCCGAATAATATAAATAATGTACATAATACCTCATCTCAGAAATGTAGACAGATACTACAAGATTACAGTGGACTAGGAGACATTTTAATATAATTAAGATATTCTTGAGAATCTTCGATCTATGTGAACAAAAATAACTTTAATATATTTTTAATTTTCGTTTTCTGGATGAGTTCCAGGAATTCTTGATTTTTTTTTTTTTTTTGCAAACGGACCTTCTCCTTTTGTATTCTGTTTTGTCTTTATCCCTCTCTCTCACTCCCCATTATTCTCTCTCTTTATAATTATTTCTTTATGCTTTAACTTTTCTTCTCTCGCTTTCTTATCATTCTATTTCTCTTGTCATATTTAACTTTCTTCTACCTTTATAATATTCACGTACGCACCTTCTTTTTCTTCTGTCTTTGCATTCTCCATTTTCTTTGTGCTGGCCTTTGTCTATATCTGTTTCTTAATATTATATTTTCGTTTTTTTTTTATTTATTATCTCTCTCTCCGTCTCTCTTTATTTGACTCTATCTTAGATTCTTTTATTATTCTCTCTGTTTATTCTTACATTTCTTCACTATTTTTATTCTCCTCCCATATTCTCCTTATTTTTATGTTTATTCTCTCTTTTTATACTCCCCTTTCTTCTTACCCTCCTCTCTCTTTATGCAAGACCTTCTTCCCTCTCCTTCCTTTCTCTTTCAGTTTACCTTGCTTCTCTCTGTTCTCTTTATTTTTTATTTTCCCCTCTCTTTTCTTCAGTCTTTTCTTCTCTCTACACATTCTTATCTTTCTCCATACTCTCTCCCACTCACTCTATTCTGTCATTACACTTACCTTCTCTCTCTCCTTCTACTCCCTCTTTACACTTAGACGCTTTTCTTTATTCTTCTTTATCGTTCTCTTTACATTGCATCTTTTCTTTTTAGCCTTCTCCTTTCCTGTGTATTCCTTTTTCTCTCGCTTATTTTTCTTCTTTCTCTTCAGCTTTCTCTGAACGGGATTTCACATTTATACAAGTCAATCCACGCATAATGAGGTGTAGATCGAACTAGAAATAAGTGTCCGTCAGAAGAATCGCCTAAATCGTAAAGAATTATGGGATTTCTGCCGCAGAGAATACCATCTCATACGTGTGACTCTAACGAAATCGTAAAGAATTATGGGATTTCTGCCGCAGAGAATACCATCTCATACCTGTGACTATAACGAAATCGTAAAGAATTATGGGATTTCTGCCGCAGAAAATACCATCTCATACGTATGACTCTAACGAAATCGTAAAGAATTATGAGATTTCTGCCGCAGAGAATTCCATCTCATACGTGTGACACTAATGAAATCGTAAAGAATTATGGGATTTCTGCCGCAGAGAATACCATCTCATACGTATGACTCTAACGAAATCGTAAAGAATTATGAGATTTCTGCCGCAGAGAATACCATCTCATACGTGTGACTCTAACGAAATCGTAAAGAATTATGGGATTTCTGCCGCAGAGAATACCATCTCATACCTGTGACTATAATGAAAGATTTTTACGCTTGTCTTCTCAAGCGCACTGAATACTTTATGTATGTTAATTAGAGACAAATGAAATATCAACAATGCACTGTAACTTCTTCAAATGAAAATTATTTAATGAGCATTTTCATTTTCCATTTTAAAATATCTTTTTCTGATGGAGGGTAATAAACTGTATGAAATCTTTTCCGCTTATTCAAAATCTCTTCTGTAAAACAGATTTGGAAGGAGAAGAGATACATTGTGTGTTTGTCGCTTAAGGTGTTGATTTCTGTGTCGAAGTCTTTTATATTTGTGAACCAAAATATAGCAATATATATATATATATATATATATATATATATATGGTATAAAATCACAATTAGAAAAAAAAATCTTAGATTTTGCCGACGGGTTTCGTCTTCCGACATCTTCAAGGCAAAAATGAAATCGAAATGTTTTTGTTGTTATAGTTTCATTAAAAAATCCAAATTTAAAAAACAATAAAACAACAAAAACATTTCGATTTCATTCTTGCCTTGAAAAAGTCGGAAGACGAAACGCGTTGGCAAAATCTAACATTTTTTTCCAATTGTCATTTTATACCAATCTGCCTTGTCCACAGAATTGATCTGGGAATTTAACTATACATATATATATATATATATATATAATCTATAATAAGAAATTATACTCGTCTTGAAATATCTTAGGTGTTTTGGCTTGGAAATGAAAAAAAAATACCCAAGGAAAAATAAGGAATAAAAAAAGGAAGGACTAAGAACATGTAATTCAGGCGAAAACAATCGTCCAGAATCCAAGATCAGAGTCCAAAGAAAAAAAGCCTCCAACACGAGTAAAGCAAAAATAACTAAGCAAAGTGCTCAATACACTTAGTAGAGCAAATCTAACTTTGAACCTAAAGAGCCAGTCAAACCTACCTAGGTTTTACCTACGCGGACCGTCAGGATACGCTGGCTAAAGAGGAACATTAGAACAGAATATAAATAGCCTACAACATAAAAACATAGAAAATATAAAATGTTTTTATGTTGTAGGCTATTTATAGTCTGTTCTAATGTTGCTCTTTGGCCAGCGTGCACTGACGATCCGCGTAGGTGAAGCCTGGGTAGGTTTGACTGGCTCTTTAGGTTCATAGTTATATATATATATATATATATATATATAACGTATTAGTCACACAAAAGATACTCTATTTACCTAAGATATGTATATGAAATTCACATTTCTGTCAGACGATAAAATTCCGTACAAACCTAACAAAGACAATAAAATCCTGATTCTTGATGTATTGTTAGACGCTAATAATATTTCATTTACTACCTTCACATATAAAAATAGCATAAACACGTGTACTCTTAACTATAAAATGAATATCATAACTATTACAAAATATTTATTATGCGATACTTAATAAACCCATCTAAGGCAAACTCATCAAGTAGAAAGATTTTCTCTGCTGAAATAAAAATATTAAACAATCCCACATTAATAATGACTTTCTTAATTACATCGTTGATGAACAAATTAGACACGCTATTGGGAATATTAACATAAATAAAATAAACATAATACGTCCTCAAATAACTCTAATCATATTAAACTACTATACCGTAATCAAATGAATTCTAACTGTAAGCAAGAGGAAAAATATTAAAAAGACTCATAAATACTAATAAATCCCTCACTGATCCAAGTATAAAATAAAGTTAATTATATAATATATTATACTAAATCTAATAAAAACAACATCGTCATCCATAACAACTCTTCTCCGTCAATATAAAAGACCAACATCATATATCAATTCAAATTTCCTTTTCAAGATTTCATCCCTGATCAAAATGTTAATACATATGTTGGTTTTACAATAACGACAACTACAACGACAAGAAAGCTTACGTTCCACATAAACGATCATATTTCAATCTCAGAACATTTAAAGTAACACTCATGTCCGCATTCACAGTTTAGACAGATATTAATAGAAAATACATCAGGGCTTTATCAAGATAATAAGCAACACTTTAAAAGTCTGCAAGCCCCTTATATGAGAGAATTGCAGCCAAAAATAAATCAAGTGAACTACGCATATAGCAACAAATTTCTGAAATGTTTGTAGCAGAAAAGTGTTATATAAAAATACTAAATTAAAATAGTACAACTAAAAATCGTTTTAAAATTACATGATTTATCTCTCTTATGGAGCGGTGAAAAATATTTTGAATTTACGGTGTTGACGTAACTATAGATATACAACTCTGAAGATGGTCTAATATGAGATTGAAAGTACTTAGCAAAATAAAAAGTATTTGAAAGAAAATTTTGAATTTTTTCTTAATCAATTTTCTACAGCCACCAAGAAATTTTCCTGGGCAAGACGATAAACTACAACCAACAGCACGTCTTCTGATCAGTAGGTTTTCAGGAGCCTGGAACCACCTCTTAATTGCTGGTGATCGCGGGTCCACCTTGACCCGGGGTCTTAGCACTGTTAGGGTCCCATCTATGGTCAAATAGTTAACCCCCAAACTGGGGTCAAAACTAAGTTTTAATACCAACAATGCATTTTTGAAGAAAAAATTATTAGCAGCGATATATTATTACAAGCAAAATGAAAAAAAAAAGAAATTACCAGCAATACATTTTAGGAAAAATATTACCAGAAATACTTTTTGAAAAAAATATTACCAGCAATAAAAATCTTGTCGGCATTAAATAACCCATTGAAGTTGATATCCTTTAAAACAAACCAAACCAAACCAAATCAAAAATCTAGTCAGAATTAAATAACACATTCAAGTTGGTATGTAAATCAAACGAAACGAAACCAAAAATCTTTTCGGCATTAACACACCGAGGTTGATATCCCGTAAACCAAACTAAAGCAAACCAAACCAAACCAGAACGAAAAACTTGTCATTAAATAACCCATTGATGTTGATGTCCTGTAAAACAAGTCAAACCAAAAATCTTGTCGGCAATAAATAACACATTGACGTTGATATGCCATAAAATGAAACAAACCAAACTCAATGTCCACGTAAATACATACACGTGAACAAATGCTATCTTATGTAAATTTCTAATCAGATACTGATGAGGCCAAAATTTAATGGATGAGGCCTTTTAAACATGGTCGTTGCAATTTTCTGAATTTCATCTCCTGCATTATTATGGGGCAGGGAGTGAGTTTAGACGATCTTGAATGCGATATAATTATTGGTTCCATATGGCCAGGAGTAGATATTTTATAAATTACTAATCTCCTAAGATTTCTATGCACAACCGTTTTAAGTGACACAGGTACAAGTTCGAAAAAAAAGATAAATCTTGTGGCCATAGCAATCGACAAACTGAACCAACAACACACACACACACACACACACACACACACATATATATATATATATATATATATATATATATATATACATATATATATAGATAGATAGATAGATAGATAGATAGATCAGGGCTATAGTAATGTAGGACGCCTATGGCTTAGGTACAAAGACAAGCTGAAGAGCAACTCATCAGCTGTCAATATACCACATAACACCCTCGAGCGCTTAGCCTTGGAGCGGGTAGAGTAGAGATCAACGTGTTTTAGTGGACTCAGCAGTTTTCCATCTTCTATTCTGAATCGTATTCAATCTCACAATCCACACCTTTGTTCCATATGCGCCTCCTTTGCAAATAACTTATGCTCTAATTAATATTATCGCACAAAATTCATAACTGAATCATATATTCGGCATATTTTGGCAGAAAATGTTGTTTAAGACAAATATTATTAAAGACGGCAAGTATGTTGTGTCAATTAATTTTGATGATCGTCATTCGAAATTACGAATAATTATTCTCGGACAAGTAGGGAATTCATCCAGAAATTGTCCGGAAGAAAAGCATAAGAAATACAGTAGAGTCTTTCTGGTTCCGGCAGGGGTCCCTCCCCGACCGGTTCTCCAGGGGTGTGATCACGCTGTTGAAAAAGGGCAAGGGTGTTGGGGGGAAACTAGACGACTACAGGCCCATAACTCTGCTAAACACAGAGTTAAAGATTTTGGCCAAGATCCTGCAGGAGCGCTTGCAGTCAGTTGCCGAGTCTCTATTGGGTCCCGAGCAGACCTGCGCTGTGAGGGGTCGAACAATTCAGAGCAACCTGCATTTGATCCGCACGATCATAGAGGGAGTAAAAGACGACGAGAGAGCCGCGCTGATCAATTTGGATCAGTCAAGGCATTTGATAGGGTTGACCATCGCTACTTTGCTACTGTCCTGCAGGCCGAAATCTTTGATCAGATCGACCAGGCTACGATCGCCCCTTCTCCCGCTAGCACCCGCCCCGATCTATCTTGGGGTCCAGGATGGCATTCCAGTCCCCACTAGAACTAAGCGCTTGGAATCCACCAGGAAAGGCTCCAACCGCCGAAAAAACGAAACCCGCTCCTCCTCCTGGTCGTTGGGCG